TTTAAATTAAAACTTTTTTTTCAAACATCCCCAAGGCCTAGGGGACCACTAAAGCAAGAAGGCTATTTTTCTAATTATTATTTTATTGTGGTTACAATCTTCTCTCAACTCTATAATTCAGAAACACAAACTTTGAAGAACTACAATGTGGTGGGGATCAAACTTTTTATTTATAAAGCTCTACCACAACACCACTACAACAATATGTAAACAAAAATGTTGACTTTCAATTTTATAAGAAATAGAAAGGAAAAAAAATTATAACTAAAAACATACCAAATTCATCCCTAAAGCAATGAACAGCTCCACTTGAAGTATCTTCATGAGACATTGCAACATATTTTCCTTTCGAATTAGTACCTACTTCTTCTAAAGTATTCTCAGAGTTATCGGGGGTTTGGAAACTTACTTGAGAATGTAATCTAGACAAACTGCGATCAGAAAAAGCATTACTTCTTCGTCTATGAAAAGAATTTGAACTATTGTATGCATAACATACACTCCTTCTCGGTACTCTACAAAAAGGTTTATCAAAAGCTTCTAAATCAATACCAGATTCTGCCTCACATTTTTTATGATCTAAATGTCCAGAACTATTGCTGTCTTCAACTATAGCAGAAAACTTGTCAGATTTCAAGTCTGCTGCTTCACAATTTAATAAACTAATGTTTTCAATTGATGAGTTTTCTATTTCAGGTAATGAAAACCAAATTCCTTGTGCAGTTTTTGAGCGAACACTTTCTGCATATACATTGTAGCCTTTAAATCTACGACTATTACCTATATCTTCTTTAACCTCTAATGCTGGCATAGAGACAGTCTTGTCATTTGATAAATCTGTTTCAATATTTTTTAATAAAGTGGGCAAAGTATTTTCTGATTTTACTTCCAGCTCTTTTTCAGATGTTGGCAATTTTTCCTTTTCAGATTCAAAGTATTTTAAAGATGATTCTCTTACTTCTGCACAAACACTGTCACCCCATGATGAATTGCTACAACAAGCACATACTGCTACATCTCTACTAAATGAGAATGATTTTTTTACTGTCAAATTATCTATCTGAATAGGATTATTTTCTGAACTTATTTTCATTTCACACTCTTTTAATATTTCAACTGTTGTAGATTGGGTTGGTTGATCTTCTGATTCTTTTATGATAGTTAGATAATCTGAACCTAGAAAAAATTAATTATTTGAATTTTTCACATAGAACAACAACAATTTTCAAAATATAGAAGAACAAAGGTTTTTATTGTTTAGTAAAAACAACACAAGCTAAAATCAGAAGATACTTTAATCAATAAAAGCCTATACTGTTAATAAAAACCTAAGCCCTTTTTTGTCTATGATAAAAACTTGGACTGTAACCATATTTTAATTCTTAGAGGGTATTTTGTCTAACAAGAATACATTTTAGGTATTTATCATTAATATATGTACAGCTGCAATCCAAAGTTTGGAATATTTTTAAAATTTGCGGAATTATTTTTTTACATTGAAAATTTTGAGTATTAATACTATATTCATAGGTAATTTATTTTTCAAACTACTAAATTTGTTTTAGTCATAGTTTGATGTTATTTTAGAAAAAAATTAAGTTATTATTTATAGGAATAACTGATGAATTAACAACATAAATACGTTTTTAGATTTTTTTTTTGCATGAAAAAGGATTGACTGCTATTGCTGCACATTTTAATGTAACACATAGATGCATCATTAAAACATTGAAACAATGTATTTGGTGATTTTATAAGCAAAACCCAAACTATGTTATGTAATTGGTGATTTTAAAGCAAAATCCATATTGGACAACTGAATAGATAACTACTAGATATGGACAGATAATTTCTAAAAATATGAATATTCAAAGGACAGATAATTTCAAAGATATAGGTAAATTTCATCAATAAGTACACCCACTAGTTTGCACCACTGGTTTGTGCAAACAACATTTAAAGAGCCATGTTTTCAAAAAAATATTAGAGACTGTATGGCCTTTTGTCAAGATTGTAGTATTTAGCAATAAATATTAACAAAAAATATTTGATTATTACCACCAAATTTTTTCAACCTATCTTTTAGAAATATTTGTATTCTTTGAAGTAACTTTTCATCAGTTGAATCTTACCTTTTGCAAAAATCACCAGACCTACTAGCTCTTCGTGAGATTAAATTTGACTGTTTCATTTTTGAACCTTAGAATTGACGACTATTATCTTTTGTTTCTTAAAGATTCAATTCTCAAATATAATCACATACTTGGCCTGTGTAAATACTTAGTAATCGATTCCTTTATTTGTTACAAAATCAGGTTTGAATTCTTCTTGGATTATCATTCATTCCTGACCTCTCACAAATATGAGAGGTGATCTCATAAATATGAGAGGTCAGGAAAATCATCTCTTTATAGTTAAAAGAACTTGACCCATTGAATTTATAACGAACAAAAATTTTTAAATAAATTAGTAGAAATAATTCTCTTAAACAAAAACACATCTCCCTTTTTATAAGAAAAAAAGTTTTTAATTTGCTTTTGCATATTATAATCTATGACGGAGATACTAATATTTTGCGTAATGAATTAGTTAGCAGATGATAAGAAAAAAATTTCTTCAATTAAATTGCAAAACGATTTAACATTCCTTCAAAACTAAATTTAAATTTTTAAAATAGTATTTAACTTAAAGTCTTTTAATTAAAAAAAATTTTTATAAAATAATTTGTTACTTTAAAAATTTCGCAGTTGCAGTTAAATGCTTTTTTTTTTACAACCTAATATTTTCTGAATAAACACCACATAAACAATATTAAAATATAATTTAAACATTCCTAATTTCGTTTTTGCATTAAACTTAACATTAAAACTATTGATTGTTTTAAACATAAAATGTGAGCTGTGTAATGCTTCTTAAGAAGGTCTTCCAAAATTTATCTGTAAATCCTCAAATAAAATTTGTAAAAAAAAAATGTTTTTTGTGTTTAAACTTTTGAGTTTTTTTTTAGGAAGTATTTTTTTAAATACCCTTAAATGCTTGTAAAATTTTCTTATGTTCTAATTAATAAAAGAGAATGCTTAAAACATATTTTGGCACTGTGACTTTAAATATATAATTTTATTATTATCTTAGATTTCTGTTTATAGAAGTATTGAATTAAAAAAAAAAAAAAACTAGAACTGAGACAAAAATCAATAGTAAAAATTTACAAAATTTGGTCGTCTGGTACTGTTGTTATGATGCATGAGTTAGATACATCAGGTATAGAGTTAGATGATACAATATTTTGTGCTTTTCAAATAATGCAAAAAAATGACTATTAAAATATCTTTTTAAGATATTTCTCTAAAAGACAAGAAAAGAAACTTTAAATCTAGTTAGAATTTGGGATAGGTGAGTGTATTTGACCCTAGTGAAAATAAAAAAAAAGTTTAGACTATAATTGTACTATTCAGTAGTATATCTAATATACTATTAAGTAGTATACTTAAGTAATAAGGTAGTAAATCTTAGTATATCTAAGTAATTTGCAGTAATCTAAAAATCAATATATAGATATGCACACAGTAGCATTTTGAGACTAGAGCAGTTTAAAAAGATAGAGATAAAGAAAAGATTTGATGTTATTTGGATATGGAAAACTATGCAACTAAGCAATCATAGAAATACCAACACTAAAACAGTAATAATGATTTTTCCATAGCTTATCAGGATCTAATAAACTATAAAAACCATGAGTAACAAACAAAATGACCTTAAAGGCTTCAGAAAGTAATTTGGATATTACAAATATTTTCAAATTTATCTTCATAAAACTATGATAATTAAATTTAAAAAATGTTAAATTTCTTGCAGAAACAAATAAATATATATATATATATATATATATATATATATATATATATATATATATATATATACATATATATATATATATATATATATATATATATATATATATATATATATATATATATATATATATATATATATATATATATATATATATATATATATATTACTCAATAGAATTTACTATAAATAAAAAAAGTAAAAAGTAAAAAACAAACAAAATAACTTTTTTATGAAGAGAATCATACAAGGTTGTTGTTATTAACACTCTTTAAGTATAAGATCAAATTTAATAATTTTTTTTTTTTGCTTCCACAAAATACTGTTTAACAAGTTTCAAGCGAGATTTTTTAAACTTTCAAAGATTTTAAAACCAAGAGAATTAAATTATTTTGATTTGAACTCAACTATACTCAAAATATTTTAACATTAATTTTGTTTACCAGTAAACATTGTAATAAAAACAAGGAAATAAAAATATCACCTTTTATATCTTCATATTCAACCTCAGTATTTTTTTCATGTATGTTAGTTTCAACAAATTTTGGGTGATGAAAGTCGACAGTAATTTCATTAGCATGTTGATCATCCAATAAACTATTTGATGCAATATCATGCAACGAAAGTGTCGACAAAGTTTTACAATCTTTATCGTTGCTAATATCTTGTCCTAAAATATCTTCAATTTCTTTTTTTAAAGAAACATTGCTAAACTCAACATCACTGTTAGCATTTTTTTCTCCAGCTGAAAAGACATCGAGCTCAATAATTTCGGCATTACCATCAAGTTTTTTTATTATATTTTTATTATCAAGCAATTCTTCTCCGTCAAAAAGTTTGTGGAGTTTGTAATTTATAACTTTTATGAAAAAAAAGACTAAGCATATTATCAATGAATAAAAAATCATAGGTAATGAGGTAGATTCACAGGTCTAAAAAAAAACATATAAAAAATATTTATCAAATTACATACTTAAATTATATAAGAATTTCATACAGAAAAATATTTTAGATAACAATACTAATTAACCTTTATTAGGCTAAGATAAAAGACTTGACTTACTAAAGACTTGATTTACTTTTCATACAAAAATAAATTTAAATCAGATGTCTAACTGATTGATTAAATATGTGAGAATACACTTTAAAAATTGTAAGATATTGCTAGAGTTTGTTTTTATGTATCATTCTAGAATGATCCACAAGAAGAAACTCTAATAATGTCTTACAACTTTTAAAGCGTATTCGCATATTTAATACACTGGCTTGAAAGCCCACTTTATCACAGTTTATAGTTTAATACAGAGTTGATTATGCCTTCTGGCAGCAAAGTACCATTTTGCCAAAATGGCAGAATGGTACTTTACTGCCAGAAATATTTTTGTCTACCTAATAAAATTTTTTTTGGTAGACAAAAAATTTTTAGGAGCAATATATTCTGACTTGCACTTCTAGTGGCTTCTGCCTCCCAACTGGCAGCTGCTGCAAGAATGTTTTAGAGGCTGACAACAAAAGGGAGGTAGATGTTGACAATGACAACCTCCAGAAGAAATTTTAAAAGCAAAATGATTTGTAGGTCCCCTCCAATGGTTTTGCCACCTCCCAATTGGCTACACCCGCCAAATTGGAGGAAAAGTTTTATCTTCTCACTGCCAGATGTGATAAAAAACACTTTCGTGTTTGTTTTTGAGTTAACGACTAATTTAAATATCACTACAATTGGTTAAAATAGGATGATGTTGAAAAAACTACTTTTTTAATTATAACAGTTTTTGTTTTATTTTTTAGTGATTTTTTTAAATATTTAGTTTTTATTTTAACAAAAAAAATCAAGCCTCAATTTATAACATGCAAGTAATTTAATTTTTTGTAAAGTATCCCTCATCAAATCCACAATTTGATTTTGTACCACTTTTTTTGTAGTGTTAATTCATAACCCTGGATTTTTTTTAACATTTTTTTGCACATTCATAATTCTTCTTCAATATTCCCTTCTCTTTGCCCAAGTCATCAAGACTTGCTGCTTAAGATAGTTTGGTGGATTAGCATCCTTTTGAATGACATTGACTCTTTTTCTTGTACCAACTATTCTAAAACATATTCTGAAAAAATTCATTTCTAACCTTAACCTAACACCAAAAACATTTAAAGAAGGATTTTTAAAGACAATAGTCAATGTTAAAAAATGCTAATAAACAGAAAGAAAACAAATAAACCAATTAAATCACACATAGCCTCTAAACAAAAAAATAATAAAAAAATTACATTTGATAGATGTAAAATAAAAATAGTGCGAGTAATCTTTTCAATTTCTTTAGAATCTTCCAATACATTACTTTTTTAGAATATTGGACCAATAACCTGGTAAAGTAATGATAATCTGGAAACATTGAGTTTTTACAGTAAGTTTCATTGTCTTCTAAAATGCACAAGTTTTTTTTCTAATATTAATTTAAGCAAATTTTTAGCTTGCCAAATTGTCTAAATTTTCATCAAGTGATTTTGTGATAAGCTTTAAGGATTTCCTTTTTCAATAATCTTTGAACGAAAGATCTACTGCATTTAAACTTTGTAGCTATATCTTGCTATATCACCACTTTAATGTTTTCTGTTTATAGTTTTGTTATCCCTATAACATTTTTTGGCAATTCCAACAATTGATTTTGGAAATTTACATGATTTTGAAACTATTGAATATGAGCATGATAGATTTTCTATATAAATTTTCAAAATATATTTTCAGACTTTTTATTCAACATTGCATAAACTAATCAGATGTATACTAATCAGATGTAAACAAAACTACACCTACAAAAAAAACTATGCATCATCAAAATATATCATAAAAATTGATTAAGCAGTTTTTGAGAAAACTCAATTTAAAATTGTCTAAATTTTAACAGATTATCAAGCCTTTCCAAGAAGCACATGCAGTCGCACGCCTTGTTTGTCCACATTTAAAGTAATTTTAGACAACTTGACCATGTTTTTATTTAGTAAGGGTTTTAAGAATTTGTGAAATGAAATGAATACAATGCAAAACAGAAAATCTAAATGAAATAAATTTTTAAAAAATTGAAAATTAAAAAAAGTAATATTTTGTCAAAAAAAAATAATATACCTAAATATTTTACTGTTTTTTTTTTGTTTTTTTTTTTAGAAAGTCTATTACTTTCACTAACAAAATTGATAGAAGTCAAGGAAACAAACAGATAAGAATATAATGAAATAAAAACTAAAATTAGAATCAAAAAAATATATATTTTTCTAGTTTTAATTTTATAAAAAAACCATTCAACTTTGATGTTAAATTTTCAATATTTGCACCTAATTAATATATTTAAATTCCTTGTTAACTTAAAAACAAATGTGAAAATGTTTTTATTTTATTTTTTATTTTTTGCAAGAAGGTTTCAACCGTTTATCTGATTTAAAGTAATAAATGTTCATAGTTTAAACTTTTTCTTTTGTATGAAAGATAAAAAATTAAGGTATTGAATAAAAACACTATAAAATAAACAGCAATTTTAGCGATTCAATTGGCTAGATATATGCTCTAAGGAAATGTATAAATAATAACAAAACAACACTTAATTATAACATAATTATATATATTTTAAAAATATTAGCATTGTAATAAAAAACATCACTGAATATCATCAAATATTGACCATAGAGATTACATCAGTTAATAAAATAATTATATCAAAAAAGTCATTTTTTTGATATAATTATTTTATTGCATCAGTTAATAAAATTTTTATTTTTTACTACATCAATTAATAATATAATTATATCACAAATGAATACAAAAATTATATCACAAATGAATACAAAAATCTATGGATTCTTCCAGACTTTAGTGTGATAAATTGATAAAGGGGACTACGAATGTCAGGATTGTTTTTGATACTGTTACAATGTGTCAAGTCATTTTGCTGAATGACATTATAAATCAAGGACCTATACTGCAACAAGATCTTTGTGTCGGTATGCTGTGTCATTAAAGACAGTTAATTAAAATGAAAATATCTTATGCAGTTGCTTTGTTGGGTAATATCAATGAGTGCTAGAAAATGAACCCAAAAGATTAAAGGTATCACAGATTACTTTGACAGGATGTAGAAGAAAAAAAAATAAAGTAAAATTCTGTTACAGAAGTAAAACTACTGTTACAGAAATAGTGCCTGGTTTATTAAACTGATAAAAATACACTAATGTAAAATACATTGTTTACATTTTAAAAGCAATCTTTCACATATATGCTATTGAAAAACTCAAAATGCAAATGAAAATGACTCAAAACCACCCATATGGTCAGTCAATTTTGTTTTTTTATATCATTAGCTATCATTTCTATACGTCGGACAACAGCTCATCTTGATAAACTTAATTTTTCAAACTCATTTTTCTTTTCAGGACATAAAATACTGCAAACTTCTAACATACACTCTTTGTCTTTTCTCATTTGTCTTGTCAGTGAGTGAAGCGCCGGATGCTTAGTTGAATAATGCCTCTTTATATTAATTCTTTCATCATTGAAATGGACTTATTACACAGCAAGAAGTAAAAAAATCTTCATTCTATTTTTCTTGAAACTGGCAACCCTCTTTATCTACTTTTTATATCTTTTCACCAAACTTCATTTTCATTTACTTTTTGTTCAATAAACTTAACTCTTTCAATACCAGCAGTTTACCAAAAAGGTTCTCGCTGTCACACATTTTTTTGGATAAAATATGGGTGACATAACATTGCAAATCATATGAACTTCCAAGTGTAAATATCTTTGAAAGCATAAAAAACTATATATCAATAGAAATCGAAACAAATGACCTTTTAAATTATGTACCACTCTCCATTTAACAATAAGAAATGCAAAATGCATAAAACGATTGTTTTTATAAATAACAACTAAAACATTAATACTAATTCTGAAGTCAAGATGCACACAATTTTTTAATTGGGTTTTTTAAAAGCGAGCTGGATGTTACCCACATCTAATTTAAAGCCTAAGTTTCTCTTCAATCAACCTCATTATATTTAACAAACTTTTTCATTAATAAAGTGCAAAAAAAATAAATAAAGTAACTATACTCTAATGACTTTTATTAGATAAAAACATTTTTAAAGATTCTAAAACTACAAAATGAAACGCATGGGCTGCATTTATTCAAGCATTTAATTTGTAACTATAGTTATAAAGAATCATTGTACAAAAATCTACAAAAAAAAAATACAATTCTGAGACATAAACAACCCAAAGCGAAATAATTCTTTCTTTAATTTTTTAAAAATCATTTACAAGCAATTATTGCTAGTAAATAATTTTTACCTTAATATCACATTTTAATAAGGAATTGTTACAATAATTTCACATTTCAATCACAAATTATTGTCTTTTTGTATAATATAGGCAGAATTGAGCGAAATTGACTTGAACACTGATCATGTTATTATTTTTTCAAAAGCTCGTCAATCATAGTCAACAGAAAAATAGAAAACAGTAAAAAAATAAATGTTGGTTCATTGAGAAAAATATATATTTTGTGTATAAAAAAAAAGGATAGTTTTTAGAATATATATATATATATATATATATATACATATATATATATATATATATATATATATATATATATATATATATATATATATATATATATATATATATATATATATATATATATATATATATATATATATATATATATATAAAGAACTATCAAAAAGATAGTTCTTTATATCTATCTATCTATCTATCTATCTATCTATATATATATATATATATATATATATATATATATATATATATATATATATATATATATATATATATATATATATATATATAGATAGATAGATATAAAGAACTATCTTTTTGTAAAATACATCAAAATTACTAAAATAATGATATATAATACCAAGTATAATACAAATGGTGTTAGCAGCAATATTAACCACAAATACATATGGAATGTATTACAAAATATGTCTTGATGAGGATCAAAAAACCAACCACCAGTTAGAGAAGCCCAAAATCCTTGGCGCAGAATCTCTAATGTTTGAGACCCCATCCTTTACTAACAATTCAAGTGACTGCACCCATTACTACAATTGATACATAATATATTAAAAGATATTTTGAACCACCAATAAATTTGTATAAAATATTAAGTATCGTTTAATGATCTAATGATAATATTAATAATAATAGCAACAATTATAATAATAATAATAGCAATAATAATAGCAATAATAATAACAATAGTAATAGCAATAATAATAATAATAGTAATAATAATAGCAATAATAATAATAATAATAACAATAAAAATAATAACAATAATAATAATAATAATAAGAATATATAAAAAATAAATATAACTTAAATATAAAAATTTTATAAGTATAATGACTCAATTAAATAATTTGATTAAAAAGAATATAAAGTTGAAAAAATATAAAGTTGAATTACTAATCTTTCAATATGATAATATAATATAAGTCAAAATATCAAATTAAAACACAAATGAAAAATAAAAAAATTATCTATTTAGTGAAAGGATTAATTTTTAAATACTATTTAAAATTGCTATTTAAAATAGCAATATTTAAAAAACTTAAATTTAAATATATACAGATATTCTGCAATTGAATATAATTGAATAATATATCTTTATAAATAAAATGTTATAAAGTGAATAATATATGATAGATATTTAGTATATAGCGACCATTTAAATAATATCGCGGATATTTAACTTTTATTTTGGACCGCGGATCAAGTGCCGAAAGTCTGATAGACAAAGTCATGATGTTATGTATGGACTTTTCAAATCAGTGGCGGACTAAGCCTTCTTGGAGCACGGGGCTGTTTTTGTTTTTGGAGACCTTTATATGGACCAAAGTCTAAAAATGACTAAAAGAAAAAAAAAAAAGTCCTCTAAAATTTTTGGGGGCCCCTAAATTAGCGGGGCCTAGGGCTAAAGTTTCCCTAGCCCCTTGATCCTAGCTAGTGCCTAGCTCCCTTGATCCGGCACTGCTTGGAATACCTTGAAAAGTGACTTTGGACGAATTATAGGAAATAGTTTAAACTTTTAAAAACTACTTTGTTTGCGCCTAGTAACAAGTTTAAATTATTCTGCATATTTATTACAAAGAAAAATTGTAGTTTGCGGAACTACTGATATAAATATTTTTTTGTTTATTAGATGCTATAAAATATTGTAAAATTTTTACAAGATGTATTGAAATATGCTCTGAGACCTTGCAACACTTCCCCAGAATTTTTTTTAAACTGTATACTATCCTCACTTAAAAAACGTACAAAGCAACTTTTTTAGCCTGGAGAAAATGGTTTTCTCAAAGTACTGTTGCGGGAAGTAACTCCTTTTAACTACTCCAGGTCAGGTCAGGATAATCGAGATCAATCTTGCTACTGGTATCACGTAACCCAGTACCACCTGCCACAAGCCCTGCTGCCTTGCAGAGTGTGCTCTTCTTATGTAAAGGCTAGGAGAAATAAACTCCGACTAAAAATTCCCCTGCCTTGGGGCTCTTGGTTGAGTAAAGGCTAGAGATGGTGTCTCGGTAAAAACACTCATCTTGGGCAGATGTTAACTGCATCCAGCTAAACATCCCCTGCCTTGGGGCTCTTGGTTGAGTAAAGGCTAGAGATGGTGTCTTGATAAAAATACTCATCTTGGGCAGATGTTAACTGCATCCAGCTACTGTCTTGTAGAAGGCCTCCTAGGCAAAGACTTTAGGGGTAAGCAGAAAAATTCTGCTAACCAGCCTTTAACCCCTTTTTCATCTATTAGGCTGGCGTAGATGTAACCTGTGTTACATTGTTTCCTGCCTAGGATGATGAATGCTAGATCTCCTTGACTCTACTCATAGAATTTTGCTTATGCCTCCTTGATAATGGCTATGCAACTCTTCCTGTTATCTCCATATGAGGGTACAGCTCTAAAACTCAGTTTAATGGTTCTGAGGCCGGCTGGTAGTAAGGTTTCCCGAACTCTGCGGTAGCTCTCAGAGAGGCTGATTCCATCAACAGCTGCAAAATATCAGAGTATTAACAGTGCCATGTTGCGCATGGATGGTGTCCCTGTTAATGCTTTTGGTGTGCATTGTCAAGGCCACTTAAGGAGCCCTATGTCACGGCTTAGGGTTAATTAACAGGACTGAGACAACTGCATAGCTCATTGATTACGAGGCTGTGCTCTATCTATGAATGAGTCAAGTTCTCATTAAACCCAAATTATGACCAAAGTAACCAAAAATTTAAAACCTAAAAAACCATCCCCACCACCTAAATATTTTAATATATCTTTTACAAATATTCGCGGTCTACAAAACAACTTTCCATCAGTTGAGTCTTACCTCCTGCAAAAATCACCAGACTTGCTTGCACTCAGTGAAACAAATTTAAGTTCTGCAATTCCTTCTTCAGATGTCAGTGTTGATGGGTACTATTCTTTGATTCGTAAAGACTCCAATAGTCACATGCTAGGTTTAGGGGTATACATACGCATTAATTCCCCTATTTGTCGTGAAATCAGGTTCGAATCCTTTGACCATTCTTTTATGTACTTTCGCCTAGCACCTCTTCACTCTATCACCTTTTTCTTTGTTCTTTATCGTTCTCTTTCTTCCCATGATTGCACTCTTTTAGATGTTATCTCTGATCAAATTGACCATGCCCTCTCTCTTTACCCCTCTGCCAATATTGTTGTTGTTGGTGATTTTAATGCCCATCACACTGAATGGCTTGGCTCTAACACCACTGATCCTGCTGGCACTAAAGCCTTTAACTTTTGCGTTTCTCTATCTCTTACTCAGATAGTTAACTTTGTGACTCGTTTTCCTGACAACCCTAATCATTTACCTTCACTCCTTGACTTATGTCTTGTCTCTGACCCTAGCTTATGTTCAGTTTCTCCCTTTTCTCCCTTAGGTGGTTCTGACCACGCAATGATCTCTGTAAATCTTTCTTCTCGTACTTCTTTTTTGGGCTCACCTTATCATCGCACCACCTACTACTACCCTAAAGCTGACTGGGATTCCTTTCGTGATTTTCTTCGTGATGGTCCTTGGGCTAATGTTTTTTCTCTCTCAGCTGACAAATGCGCCTCCTACATAACCTCCTGGATTCAGGCTGGAATGGAAGCTTTTATTCCTTCTCGTCGGTTTCAAGTCAAGCCTCATTCTACTCCATGGTTTTCTCCTTCTTGTGCGGCTGCTATATCCAATCGTAATCATTTTTTTCATCTTTTTCAAAAGAACAACTCTCTTGAGAACAAACGGCTATTTATTATTGCAAGAAATTGATGTAAAAAGGTGCTTTCTGATGCTAAACTCCATTATTCTCAGTTCACTAAATCTCGAATCTTATCGCAGAAGTTAGGCTCTAAAGACTTTTGGAAAATCTTCAACAGCATTGTTAACAAGGGTAGATCTAACATTCCATCTCTCATTCATGGGACTGATCTAGTTACCTCTCCCAGGGATAAAGCAGAACTGTTTGCAAAGAACTTTTCTTCTAATTCCACTCTTGAATCTTATGGACATTCTCTTCCTTCCATTCCAGTCAAACAGGTTGACCCATTGTTAGACATTCAAATCACTCCGGCTTCTGTTGCTAAAGTCATATCTCAATTAAACTCGTCTACAGCTTGTGGTCCAGACAACATTTCTGTCACAGTCTTGCAGAATTGTTCTCCAGAACTTTCTTCAATTCTCTCTAAACTATTTAACAAGTGTTTGACTGAGTCTTGTTTTCCTGCTTGTTGGAAAATGGCATCTGTGGTTCAATATTCAAAAACTCTAGAGAAAATTCTGACCCCTCCAATTATCGTCCGATCAGTCTTCTTTCTGTTATTAGCAAGGTCTTTGAGTCTTTGATCAATAAATTCCTCACATCTCATCTTAAGTCAAATAAACTGCTGTCAGACAATCAATACGGTTTTCGATCCTCTCGCTCTACGGCCGACTCGCTAACTGCTGTAACTGAAAGATTTTATCGTGCATTAGATGGAGGCGGTGAGGCTAGGGCTATTGCTCTCGACATATCTAAAGCTTTCGACAAAGTTTGGCATGCTGGTCTTCTCCATAAGCTTGCTTCATATGGTGTTTCTGGGAAAGTTTTTGAGATTATCAAATCATTTCTTTCTAACCGGTTTATTAAAGTCATCCTTGAAGGCCAACACTCTTCTTTATTTCCAGTAACTTCTGGGGTTCCCCAAGGTTCCATCTTAGGCCCTGTTTTGTTTCTTATCTACATAAACGATCTTCCTGACAACCTTTCATTTAAAGTAGCTCTTTTTGCTGATGACTCAACTTTATACTCCTGTCTTGACAAAAAGTCTTCTCTTTTCGATCGCCTAAAACAAGCAGCTGATCTTGAATCTGATCTCACTTCAGTAATAGATTGGGGTTCACAGTGGCTTGTGAATTTCAACTCTAAAAAAAACCCAATTGCTTACTGCAAACAACTAACGTAATATGATCAACATTCCTATATTAATGAATGGCAATCCTCTTACTGAGTTCTCCTCTTTACGTCTTCTTGGATTATCGCTTACTACTGACCTTTCATGGAAACAATATATACAATCGATTGCTAAATTAGCTTCTGCTAAGGTTGCTTCTCTTTATCGTGCTCGCCATTTCCTTACTTTCTCCAATTCTATTCTCTACCTCTACAAATCTCTTATTCGTCCCTGTATGGAATACTGTTGTCATATTTGGGCTGGTTCTTCTAACGATTCACTTTCTCTTTTTGACAAGGTCCAAAAACGCATTGTAAATGTTGTTGGACCTGGACTATCTGCTAAGCTTGAACCTCTTTCCCATCGTCGTAAAGTTGCATCTCTTTCTCTTTTCTACAGATACTATCATGGTCATTGCTCAAAGGAGTTATCATCTCTAGTTCCATCAACTAAAATTCATTCTCGTTTTACTCGTCATTCAGCTAAGTCTCATTCGTTTACTGTATCTGTCCCTGCATGCTCTAAAAACTTTTATTCGTCTAGTTTTTTTCCCCGCACTTCAATCCTTTGGAACTCTCTCCCATCTTCATGTTTTCCTGACTCATACAACCTTTAACTTTTCAAGTCTTCTGTCAACCGTTTCCTTGCTGTA